CCACCGACTCACTTGACGTTTGCGAGAATGAATCCCCTGTCGATAGCTTCCGCAACCAGTGTTGTAGTGCGCCGGGTCAGATGGAATGGTTTAAATGAAAATGTCATGCGGGCCTACTAATATTTCACATGGTGACACAGGTTGGAACCTTACGACCGATACGTCTAAAATGCTTTCCTTGTTTTAGACCGTTCAACCAACTGTGTATTAACCCAATATTAATATAAAACAATATAATACTATTAACTAATCTAGGCTCAAAATCAATTGTTTCGCAACACGACACTATAATTCTTCGGATTTCATTACAAGAAACAGGAACTTGGGAGAAAGTTTCTAGGAATAAATGGCTTGGAAACACTTTTTTAAAGACTGACAAACACATCAGTGAAAGATATTTAATACTCTGATTGATAAATAAGAAATTAAATACGTTTGCAAAGATGATGAGTAAATCTGAATCTGATTAAACAAATTATTGTTTACTCCCGATTAATATCATACTGTTTTTCGCATCTGCATGTTTGTGTTAGTTTCGTGTACTTATATTCCTTTATAAACTAATTATTAGACCTGGAAGGTGCCTTGTTGACCCATGAATGACAATCACCTACCCAGTAGGGTACTGAAAATCGTGTTCTACTAGAACATCAGTCTCCAAATGTAAAGCATGAAACCCAATACTGTTTTATAAGTGTCAAAAAGCTCGTTTAATTCAATGGCAATTTTTAGTTTTAATTATACATATACATCTGTACATGTTACAATTTAAACTGATCTCGCGTCGACGGGAACATATCTTTGTTCGCAAACATAATCTGGCCCCCATATTGGTGAGGTTGATGGTCAAAACTCACAGTAACGACCGACTTAACCCAGTAATTTTACATTGATATTTTATTATTAATTGCCCTCTCATTTTGATCATTTATCACCGGACAATGCAGTAAATAATCAAATTAACCGTTACATATAAATCGTTAACATCACAAATATTTACATATACATTATTTCTTATTGCTCATATAAAGGTACACAAAATCAATCAGCACTTGACAATATTTTATAAATCCGTAGAAAATAACATTTGTATATCTACTTTCAATCATTTATTTACATACAAACTTTATGGAGGCTCACATGTTCGCATAAGCGTCTCATAAGCCGCGTAGAACGTTAGGTATCCGTGGGACTCGCTGGGTCGACTAACACTAAAAAACGAACAATTTACAGCTACCAGCGAACTGCCATAAAGTTTGAATCCTTTAATCCCGTACTTGCAATGAGAACTAGATATGTATTTTATTTAAATATTCGTCATAAACCGCTCTTGTTTTCATATTAATGTTAGGCATTGAAAAATGTTTACACTTTTTGGCAGTGTTAATTGTAAAAAGGCATGACTACATTCTACAGCAAGCCGACAAAAAACCGTCATACAAGCTCTGTTTTAATGATTAATTTAACAATGAAACGACAACATTACTATCCTATATAAATCGTACAAAATGACTTAATACGATACTATTAAAATATAATATTGCCAAAAATCTATGTGCTATACCATACAAAAATCTTACAGTAATTGTCATAAACTTTGATTCTGTATTTAGGTGAATACAAATGTAAATTTTATATCAACTGTATCAAAATTCGGCACTTATTGTAAATTAAAAATCATTACGTGTTTAAGCTGTTTTATATGTGTATCCGTGAGAATCAACTGCCGAAACTCCAGTACAACAACATATTATCTATATTTAGTCCGGTTAGTATTAAATGTGATATGTACAGGTGTTTAGGCAGTAGAAAGTAATGATATGATACACTAGGCGCTAAATTTGTACTTCTAAAGGCTTTTTGACTAAAACTTAAGGGCTAATTATAGGCGTTTGATAATTTTAACAAACAATATTATTGCAAATGTAAATAGATGTTATTCTTAATATTAACACCTTAATACTTCGACTTAAAATGATATTGCCGTAGTTAAACAATGTCATTCCGAATTCGCTTGGAATGTTGAATTTTTGTGCTTCATGTAATACATCTATCCTGGTCCTGGCGCTAATTATTAAAATTTTTGTTATAAAACACACATTTTGCTTATGTAAAAAGATCCTACACATTAAGCGTTAGATCCAATGAGCCCTCGATTACAACGATAATACAAAACTCTCATTTTCGTGTTATTAGGTCAGTAACTACGTAATTGATTATTCGCCATTTCAAAATATAATCGCAATTAAAAAACACGTTAAGTTTATTCCACTTAGTTCACCTAGGTGATATAACTCAAATTCAAGTGGGATTACATTTTTAATTGCAATTGATATACTGTGAAATCCGCAATAAACTGCCACACGCATTAACTGACACTTGTAATTCGAGAGCAATTATTGTATGTTTTTAAAAAGTAAAAGCCCATTTTGATTAGTCGTTATAGGTAGGCCCCGAATACATAGAAGTTTCGCTTTTTCTCGGTCTATATACGGTATTCGGTTATCCCCGCATGCGGGCTAACAATGAGACTCATCGGTCGATAAAAAGCTAGCGTCGTGCTGGGAATCTATCGTAGAGTGTTAGACCCGAACTGACGCTGCAAGAATATAAAAGCTGTTCTTTTCACCGCAATACAAGTGTTTAAATTATGGAATGCATCTAGTTATTTTTTTTTAATAATCTACGTTTCTTTTTTTAATTTACTAATGGAAGTACACGGCATATAGATACGTCTCAGGCCCGGAATTTAAAAACTAATGAAATGGCATGCGGGCTCTACGGCGTGCGGGAACAGAAATCTCTCAGCATGCGGGCGCTAACGACTAAAGAAAATGAACCGTAATGAATATGTTAATAACGTATAATCTTTTCTAACTCAAAATCTAACGCCTAACATGTACTTTCTTTGAATCTAGTATGATATCAGTCATGGATATAAGCATTGAATCTTTTTATACAAATATTATGTTTATATTAAGACTAGATTTGAAGTGGTCTAGATGAAGGCAGTATTTTGTGCAATTAATCATCACAGTATATTCCGTAACCTGTTTTACAATTAACACGAAACTAATCGCACTACGTCTAAAATTATGAAACTTTTTAAAAATATTAATTAGAACTTTTCAAATTTGTAAAGCGCAGATATCTAAGCTAATAATTTGACAATATAACAGTTCAAAGATGATATTTTAGTTGCTTTTTATTATCTTTAATGATTAAATTAATTACTGCTTTTGATATTACAAATTAATATTTTCGAGGTATACTAAGTTATGTAAAAAATTAACGATATACTTATTATTAAGATATGAATTAATAATAATACCTACTTATTGGAACTTATAGGAATCGACAACTTACAATTTTCATAGGTAAGGCTTATATGTAATAATTTACAAAATATACAAGCAGATCTGTCTGAAGTTAATAAAACTATTCAATTTTTAACAAACACCGAATATAATACAAACATAAATTAAACCTTCTTTTTAACAAGTATTAAACAAAACAAAAACAATTTATTCACATCTAAATATTTGGATATACTCCAGACCGATCTTTGTTATAATTTCGACATTAATGGAATGTAATCAAGTGGCACTTATGTCTGGATTAAGCGTTTTGTTACATCCCAAGTCAAAAATTAAAAAAAAAAACTATATTAATACTGTATAATTATTACTTTTAAAGGCACTAATTATTATGGAATACTTCTAATTCACTATCTTATAATAAACACGAGTGTATTATTTACTCCATAGTATCTTATAATTTTTTCTACAATTTGTAATAAATTGGAATCATTTTTTTTTTCAATTTTAATTCTTACATTAATAATCGATTGAAAATGAATATTGGTACATGAAACTATAAAATGTATAGGACATTATTTCAATATCTGGACATTATACCTTATGCTACATAATAATCACCTAGTATAAAAGACTTTTCATCAAAAAATAATAGGTAAGGCGTGTCGGCTATTCTATACTAAACAAAAAAAAATATTTAATACTCCCTGGTCGTTTTGATTATTTTAACAGCTTTCAAATCGGGCTACGGTATTGCTAAGGTACAATAAGTGACTAATTATGATTCATGAACTAATATAAAGAATGCTAATGCCATTAAAAATACATGTCAATATAATAACAATAATTGTATAGTTAACTAATACTCACATATGTATATATTACACTCAAACTGTACAATTAAATCATACACATTAAAAACAAACAATTTGCAAATTATTACAAAGCAAATTATATTTTTAATAACAGCACTCTTGAGCAAAATTATAACATAATAATCATATATTAATACAAAATTTGATTAAAAAATTATAAACATTAACTACTAGGTCCCAATAATTGGAATATAAAATTAAATCTAATACTATGACAACAAAACTGCTAACTTTTGGGTACATAAACATTATACTTTGGTCTAGTATAGTAAATTATTCCTTTGGGTAATTGCTGCCTATTCAAGGAAGCCTGAAACAGATAAATTGTTCATAAGTACATTACTATTACTAATAACATTTAAAATTTGGATGGATGGATGTTTATTAGTTTGTAGCGTAAACTGAACGGATCTCGATAAAATTTGGCCTAGATGTAGAGATTGGGTAAATGACACATCATATAGTATTTTAGGCACATCCAAAATCATAAAAACAACGAAAAAATTATGTAGTAGGTGCACCATTAAATTGACCATTCCTTTCCCATCCCTAATGTAGGGCATATTCTGGAAGAATACATAGGCTACTTTTATATCATGCGTACTTGGGCTTAATACAAATATCTAAATACAAACCTCATATTGACGCTACTGATGCTGACTTTCAACAATGAACATAATTGATTGATGTTGGTTACTGTCAGTGTGTATAGGCACTGACCGTAGACATTCAATTTGATGTGACGACCAATCCTTCTTCTGACAATATATCGAACAGTAAGGCGTACGTCTGCACAATGAACATTCCGCTGATGCTTCACGGTTACAATTCGCGCACTGTAAGCAAATAATTAAAAAAAAATCAATAAAACCAAAAGGAAGAGCTTCGGTGGTTTAGGGGTTTGAGGACTTACTTGTAATCAACAGGTCTTGGGTTCGAATCCTGCAATGTACTAGTGTTTTTTTCCATTTTTCAAATTTCATATGTACATAATTTACCCGACGTTCTTATTGTGAAGGAAAATATCGGAGAAGAAATTCTAGGATACGTATGATGTCAACCAACCCGCACTTGGCCAGGGTGGTTGACTACGGCCTCATCACCCCTTACTTAGGGTTGGCTCCGAGCCCCTCGGTGGGGACGTATAGTGAGCTGGTGATGAATAAAACCAAAAGCTTAATGCTTCTACACTAAGCAAATTATTGGACTAGCTTATATTTCTGAAGAATAAAGCACTTGCCTTTTTAGATACTGTGTCATCGACATTGTGCAAAGTCACTTGTTCAACGTCCACCTCCGCGTCTACCCCTGCAGCCAATATTTGGGATGTTCTCTCTTGTTCCAATTGTCTAGTGTTTATTACCCTAACATCTTCTACACACTGTTTTAATTCATTCGCAACCCTGACTAGCGACTGACCAACATCTTCTAAACGTTTGAGTACTCCACTTAAATCTGGTAAACCTGAAGGTTGAAAAAATATTATTTTAATAACATCGAAACGAATTACAATCAAATTAATTACCAAACAAATATTACGATAAAAATGCAACAATTTTGTTAGATTTCAAATAAATAGTGCAGTTGGTTTTGTAATTACCCTAGTTACGACTCATAAGTCTGTTACGATGACTTTTCTTTGTTAATAAATGAGTTTCATTATATTTGTATTGTATTATAACGAATATTATTGAATGGCAAAATATATTGGATAATAATTAAGTCTTTACTTCTCTCCACTTATCAATGTTGCGTGTTTAAAAATCTGATACGACGAACTGCACAGATCCCTGAGAATTGTTGCATTAACTTATAAAATAACTAAGAATGAAATAAAGAACAGTAAGCTACTATTTTAAAGAAACCGTTATGTGATTGCCAGCGCGGAAGAAGGTGAATATTTACAACTATTTTCTATTTACTAACTCTAGGACATAGTGGTACAGTCACTTCAATACAAAAAAATACACAGATATAAAATAAAAACATTGAAATTCATTACAAAAGCAGGTGTTGTATTATTTAAATATGCTGGTGGCTCGAAACATTGCCTTCGCAGTACTCAATTTTGGGTTAGCGTGGCGCAAGGGGATGTGAAGGGGCGTACTCTTAAGCCATCAAAAAGATTAAGATGGCTAGTAAAAGCATAACAGGATTTTCTAATCTTTTTTAATAATTCGTTGGCAGTAACTCAGGCAAACAAAAAATACGTAGCAAATATCAATTAACCAGTAAAACATTCAGAGCGTTAAAATAAATTACCGCCTAGTAAGAGAGACAATTGTAAATATTAACCAGATATTATATTACAGTCTTCTGTTTTCCCATTGTAGCTTTTAGTTTTAATTTTTCGCGATCCTGCTTGTATCGTTTGGATAGCCGTTCGATCGCGAAGCATGTTATTTCTTACAGGTAAATCTGCCAGCAAACAAAATCGTTTAAATTACATATGACGGTAAAATAATTTATTTCATGTCTCCTACAATGTTTATTGTATCTGATCGCGAATACTTAACGGAACGCACATTCATTTACGTCACAAATAGGTTTTGCAGTTAGACTATGAGTAACACGTCCATAGGCACCTCAAGTTACAGAAAAATTGATGTTTTTCATGTCGGCATCTATAGTCTATACTTATAATGAAGAAGTAGGTGTATGATGACTTAAAATATTAAGTAAAGCTGATCAAAAATATGTTGTATCAACCCTAATAAATTAAGCGATTCTCAAGTTTTAAAGTTGTTTATTTTCCTATAAAAGGCTGTTGACAATTTGTGTGAAGTTCGAGAATCACTAGGTTTATTTTATAAAAAGTAAACTAGGACTACATAACAATAATGCATTAACACAAATTTACTTTTTATGTGTTGATATGTCAGCCAGGCTAGCATTCATAACTATAAACTAGTTATCTGTACAAGTTTAGTTGCTTACTTAAGTAATTATTGGCTTGGCATTTTCGCACCACCGGTTTCAACGGGTGTCTAAATTACATTCGCATTTTGTAAACATATTTGTCGTTAGTACGAACTAACACGGCAATAAGAAAACTTAAGGAGCTTAATAAAGCTCCTTATTAAAATATTTATAATTGTCGGCAGTGCTTACGCTAGTCAAAACACATGTTGAACGCTTGTTTAACTATGTGTTCCGAAATTAATTATTTTAAACAGTTACATTATGCAATGCAAACACGCTATAGTAGACAATTGATAAAATCAATCAGCAAAGTGATCCCTTATACTCAAATTATTAAAATTAGTAAATACAACATTTAAATGAAACTGTATGAAAATGTATATAGTCATCTCTCTCTTTCAAGAAAAACAAAAGAATGGCAATACGTTAGTTAACAGGTATTATGAAATAAGAAAATCATATAACAATACACAGTAAATGATATTTCCAAATACTTCGCATCCGCTCCTCATTGTTTTCTATCAATAACTTCTTGTGTTATTGTTGAGATTCTATAAGATGTGTCTATAGCATCAACCGAATTCTAAATATCATTCGCAATGCAGGTATTCTAAGGGGATAATCAAATCTTACGCGAAGAGTATAGTAAAAAATTAAACACAATGCAACACTTATGAACAACACAAAAAAATGTATTTCACTCGCGCTAAATTCTAAGCTTTATACAGTTGCGGAAATGAGCAGTGTTTTACTTTCTTTACTAATAACTTTATTTTTTGCAACTTGACAAACTCTGCCTCTTACAAATAACCAATTAGGTAGCAGTGATTTGCGCATACCAAAGGATAATGATAAAAAGGAATAAGCCGCGTAAAACTGACTGACGTTTTGTCCTACAGACACATTTAAAGCGTCCAATTGGTTCTTTCGCGTCGCCGTCTCAATGTGTACAAACCGTTAAAATAGTTACAGCTTTTAAAGTGGATCACCACCAGATTCCCCAATACATCATGACAGACAACACTCAGCAGCCAATAATATAGTACTCCACATGAATAAATTGCATAGAGGGCTTTACATACGGGCACTGCTTATATTACATCGCAATAGGCCTTAAATATTCTTACATTGTCAGCAGACAATATTAATGGTTTCCCTAATGAACTTATAATTACATTTTAAACCTAGCTGTGTTTATGTGGAAAATATAACATTTTAATGATTCTATGGTTGTCTTACTATAGAATTTGACGTGATGCCACTACAAGGAATAAATAATAGTAGTTTCTGTATTATCAAAGAGAATGGCGATAAGTATAGTTACAATCATCTGGTAGTTGAATTCTATGGTTATATGCATTCTATAAATTAGTATAGACTATAGATGCAAAGATAAAAAAATACATCAATAAAATTAAATTATGATTTAGAGATACACTTGCTTTTGAATTCTAAACTACTAAAAAAACAATTAATCTGTGTAAGGATGTTTATGTTTGTTTGCCTGCATTTTTACATACTTTGTAAATGACAATAAAGCTAATTTTATATAAGTCACTAACAAAACTTTTATTGAAACCTCAGCAATTCAAATGGAATAGATAATTTTACTATACATGGTTTAAATTATATATTTGTGATGTTGTTGTTGATTTTCTGATTTTTTAGACACATCTTGTCCTAAACCCTAATGAAATAAATGTTCTTCATGCCACAATTATCTCGTAACAAATTAAAATCAAAATTATGAATAGGTACTTACTCTTTTCAGTGTTCAATGTTGGATCAGGCTTTGTTTCAGGATTTTCCATAATATGATATTCATTACTAGATTCCAAGCCATCTGTAATGGACTGCCATGCCTCTTTAGAATGACTATTGTTGCTTGTCTGATGAATATTATCCACATCACTCTCTGCAAGTACACTTTCACGCTTTGATTTTTTCTTCTCTTCTGGTTCTTGATTTCGTCTTTTCCTTTTATACGGAGTAAACAAACGTACTGGTCCCATTGCTGAAATTGACAAAATAATTTTGATTATCACATACAGAAGCAACATTTTTAGCTACAACTATCGGTTGAAATGTGTCTTTTAAAGCAGGATTGCCATTATAGAAGTCCATTTTACACATTCCTCTGTTTACTTGATGTCCACTATGAGATGCGGTGTACCATTAAAGAAAAATCTTATAAACTATTTAAATTAAACTAATAATGCTCACATTTTCACTATATTTAGTGTTGGATTATGAAAATTAAAAATAATTTGAACTAATTTACTTATTGTAAAATTCTACTTTAAGTCGGAGGACAATTGTCAATGTTTACTTATCATTAGTCAAATAATGTACAGTAAATATTTACAATTTCACTAATGTCACTAGTAAATATTTAAATACTAAATTAAAAATTAAATCACTACTCAATGTTGCTATCTTTCAATCTAAAATATTTTAGTTTGAAAGACATCATAATAAAAGTAAGGTTATATGATTGTTTATGATAGAAACAAGTTTAAACTAATTAGTACCTGATTGATCATCACAGCACGCCCCACAGGTACAACTTGTTGCATGAGGTGCCAAAATACCTTCATCAATTAAAGCTTGAATACTTCTTCCACCAAACCTTATTGACCTTTTCCAATCTTTACTAGACGCGCGGCCACACATAGCTTCGAATTCACTTGGCGTGAGCCATTTCATACCGTACTTGATACATCGCCCGCGACCTCCAGATCCAAATCTATGTTTGTGTAGTTCAGCTGATGTATTTTTGCAACGCACTGGAAGAACTGGCATCAACGCTGTTTCCGTCCATGAACGAGCACTAGCAGCTCGCGACGGTGGTGTAGTACTTGAACTGGCGTCCTCATTCGACTGCTCCCGACTTTGCGACGGTGGTGAATTTTGAATAACAATATGTGTCGCTTTTATATCTTCGGTAACAGGACCACCAGAAATGAAACCGTTGTCCACACATATCATAGGCTTGAAATGCGGTAGCTGATCCGACGTAATTACGTTGAATGTCGTACCTGTTATGAGTGTGCCAACTGGCAAAGAAACTGGCACAGTAATGACACCATTTGAATCACTAGAAAGTCGAGCAGTCTTGATTTCACTTGCCAAAACAGTACCGCCATCAGTACGATCGGATTCGTTCTCGGTGTCCGTCGCCAGAGGATCGTCTTCGGAAACTTCGGTAATGTCCGGCATAACGACGTTGTCCGAAGTCCTATTCTGTGCCATTACTTTCTTCCGGCTTTCGTGAAAAACTCCCTCGCGTAGGGACCGTATTTTGGACACTGACATGAAAAAAATCACCCAAAAATTCCCACCAGCTTTGTCCGACACAATGTAGAAAATGGAATGAAAACATTCAAGTACGTAATGGCGGAAAATTCGAATAGTACATTAATAAAAACAAATGCATTCTTGATTAAGATAGAAGTACAAAAATAGATTATCTTTGCATTAAAATCACGTCAAAAAATTCTTTCATGTTTTAATATTTCAAAAATATTTTAATTTTGTTTTTTTTTTGTTGCCTCAAAATTCATATCACAGATTATATTTCAAATGCGATCAAGTTATTATGGTAAATCCAAAGACTTAATTTTTGTAGACAGGACAGGAAACAAGGTCATGTCAAGATAATCAAGTTAACTGGTAATGAAGTTAACAGTTTCAAGTTATATTTTATAACATAAACAAAACACAAACAAGTATAATTAAGTTTATAAAAACACTTTCTATTCTACACTGATGTATAGGGCGAGAATGCCCTTATTAGTAAAATGGAGTACTAGGTAGAAAGATAGTTAACAACAAGTGCTAGCTACTGGCGTAATGCATTTCCATATGCCAGTAAAATGTACACGAGACCATACAAGATGAGACGTATCAGTTTTAAAGTCCCTAACCCACTTCCTCCATCCCTCAAATTACAGTCCAGTTAGCGATTCCACATACCTACCCGTAGCTAGTACGTGCCAGTAGTTTGCATATAAGCGTGTCAGTTACTGGCATGCAATTTAACGCCATAACCTATAGACAATGGGAGTGTGTCCTAATGCACGAAGACAGTGGCATTGCTCGTGGACAGGCGCAATGCACTCTTTGGAATTTTGATAATTTTCTAAACCTACTAAACTCTTTGTTAACTTGCAAGCGAACTAAATTATTGGAAGTCAACAGAACGTTAACTTTTTTTCATTTATTGGGGTAAAAGTTAATATGTTAAGTAGAGCGTTAACTTCGTTAATGCCGAAAATCTAATGAACGAGTTAATGCCCGCCCACCTTTGCGTATTGTCACCTCATGCAGTGAAAGGGAAAGAAAGGAAGTTAGTTCTCAATGTGGTTTAACTTTTTTGTCATATGTGGCAAAGAGGATTTTGCTTTGTGTATTATTTACTTTGCCCAAGTACATTTTCCACATTTCCACATACGAGTTGCCACTATCAAAATATCTACAAAATAGGGATTGCTATTTCTGTTTTTTCGAAGCCAATAAGAGAGACAACAATATGTTTTGGTAAAGAATTTCGACAAACGAAACTGGCGATAAGTAAGAACAGTAACAAAACAAGATAAAAAAAATAATTAACTCACAGCCATGGTTTAATATTACATATTTAAATTACGAGTGTATTTTATTATAATATTGACTCTTGGTTTGAAATATAAGTGCAAAAATATTTTTATTCTTTGACGAAAACTATATTTTAAAATTGAAAATCTCGTAATATACTCAGTTTCGCCAATTTAAGCTAATTTTTGTTTTAAGATTGCTTTTTCGACAACGAATATATTATATTTTTAGCTATTAATATTGATCTTACAGACTTGCGCAGTTAATGCAGCCTTTGTCTGCCATTGCTTGCGAAAAAATATTGTCAGTTTGAAGTTGCGAAGTATTGACATTTACTGATTTGTGCACTATGTTTGTATTTGTAATTTATAATGTATGTTTGTAATTTATATTGGTTTATATTTATAAATTAGATAGTTCAATTATTTTGATCTACTTTGAAGAAAAATTTATTATATAATTCCACGATATTTTTTTTTTGTTTGCAGTGATAAAATTACTCATTTACCATGGAAGATATACGTTCTAAATACAAATCTATACAGAATGGTTCCCATCATATTACATTAGACTGTATACATCCGCAGGTAAGCTAAGCTTAGTTAGTTTTTAGCCAAATTACTAATCTTTGTTAGCCTCCAGTGGTGGACATTCCATAGGCGATGATCTCCGTAAAACTGTCGCTTTTGCTCCCTTCTCTGGCTATTGTCTTTAAGCACACTTAGTAAATTATTTGTAATTTTTTAATATTGGAGGATGTCAATATTTGTAGTGCTGTTGCTTGTTCACAGTTTGGTTTATTTCTACATGTCTGTACCATTGGGATATACAGTCAACACATGGCTCTCCGTATCATGTTCATCCTTATCCTTCTCCTATTCGTCTACAACATGCTTTTACAGCACAGACCAGCCCAAAGATGTTCCACCCAAAAGGACTTAAACCTCATCGCGTAAGTTCAAAACATCTTAATAGTTTATGTATTATTATTAAACATGTTTTTCTAATGAATTTAAATGTATTTCCAGGATGGCAAAATACTTGTTACACCAACTGAGAGTCCTATCCTTGGAAGGGCCCTATGCCTCACTCCTAGGGGCAGTCCACTACCAGGCCACATATCTCACCTGAATGATAAATTCCAAGACTCACTTACTATCACATCTGACACAGATGCTTTGGTTGCCAAGATAAGTGCCATGTTCCCAACTGTTAGTGAGACACACATAAAAATATTATTAAAAAAGTAAGTCCGTTTTATTGTACTTATTTTAAGTAATAATCAAATATGTTATTTAAAAAAGTAGTTAAATAGATGTATAGTCATGATATTCTTTTTAAATTACTTGAAAATAAGATTTGAGACTGTTGTCCTCCATCCATCCTAAACTTAATACATTCATGTTAAAATTAACATTATAGTATTCACATTTTAGTTTATAACACTAACACTAACACTAACTAATTAGTTGAACCACAAAATTTTAACAGTTTATTTTTCCTAATTCAGATATTACAACCGTGAAGCAGTAGTAATAAGCGCATTACAAGTTGAGAAACATCCTATAACTACACCTGGGCCTTTAAGTATGTCCCCTTCAATGGCACGCCTGCAGAAAGGTGCTGTTGGTGTCTACTCCGCAATGCAACTTGCTAAAGGAGGATCATCTATGCATGGGTCTAGTCATTTGACACCTCTTACTGGGACACCGCAAGGTAAAATTGCCTGTTTTAATATCATGCATGCGGATCAGAGATTATGAACTTGTTAAACTGCAAAATACCAAGTTCTGTATGTAATATAATAAAGTATAAACACACACTACTTCATGGTGTAGGATGTCAGCAATTGGACTTTAGGTTATAGATTTTCAGGCTACTAAACTTAGGGTAATTAAATTGAAAAAAAAACCCTAATAGAAAGGGACTATAAACTACAAGATGCGAACAATAAGGAAGCAAGATTGCCATGGTATGGTAATTGGTATCCAATGTCAAAGGCCTTCATTGTCATTTGTGCATTTGAACATTTGAGTTACAGGAACAGCTACTGTATAAATTAAGATTAACATTAGCCTGTCTCGACATATTTTATTACAAAGTACCATTGATATTTCAGGTTCTCCATTGCTTCTGAGACCAGCTTCAGGGGCATCAAGCTACATGGGCATGGCAAAAGCAGTTGATGGTCAAACAAAACATCAATCACCAAAAATGAAATTGAAGTATGTATCCTAGTAGAGAAATATAAGAATTAGGGTTTACTGGTACTGTTGACAGGCTGTCAACAGGGGAACTTCAATCATTCCGATATTAAGTTCTATTTAAACCAATAGGTGCTCAATTCCTGTTGCAAAGGATGGTTGTATGCAACATGTCACTTTGTAAAATAAAATTAAGATAGTTCATGATTAACTAAGAACAATAAAAAAAGGCAGAACTATCTGTCCCTTTAGCATTAACTAAATTAAGCTTAAGTAATAGATGCCATACTTTACATGAATTTGATTAAAATAGAAATCAGTATGCATATAATCTTTATTGATTAATAAAAATTATATTATTCACAGGTATCTTAAAAGTATTTTTCCAAAAGCAGAAGAGACTTTAATTCTGGATATATTAGCAAATAAAGATGATAATGTTCAAAAGGCAAGCGAGGAACTCATCGGTATGGGTTTTACCAAAAAAGATACTTCAATACAAAAGAAAAAGGATAAAGAAACACCACAACCTGTGAAAAAAGTTGTTACTATAATGAAGACAACAGAAGAAAAAATGCAATGTAAGTTATACTCAGACTTAACACAATCACTGCCACTATGATTTAATAAACAAGTTGATGGTATTAAAATCGATCAAATAAAAACAAGGTATACAATAAAGTAAGTAAGTTGACAACGGCCTTGTCGCCCTAACTTAGGGTAAGCTTCAAATGACCTTCTCAATGACCCCATTGCAAGGCTTGAAGCTTACTTATGCTTACTTATAGACCATAGGTCATATTTGACAGTGGTAGTGCCCGCTTTAACATCTTAGCACTGCAGGGCTGGCACGACCGGTGTAATACCACGACCACACAGAAGACAGGTGTGAAATGGAACCAATGCCGTGTTTCGTCTGATGAGTGTTGTGCAGGAGGCCTAATTTAAGTCCCTCTCTCTTTACTACCCTTTTCTTATGAGACGATGGGAAGGGAAAGTGGATTTGACGATGGAGGAGATGCTTAGGAAGAGGAAATATCGTCTTTATGTGCGTCTCCTCCTCCGTCGGATAAGGGTAGGCGACGCATCTGCAATTGTAGATGTTGTCTATGGGCAGCGGTCGCTTCGCCATTTTGGCGGATTCAGGTGGCCGCTTGCTCATTTGCCATCTTATGTTATAAAAAAAATAATAGTAAACTGCTGGTAATCTTACTTCTTATCAATATTATAAATGCGAAACTTTGGATGAATGGAAGACAGTTTGTTAGAGTTGGTATCCTAAATAGCTGAACGAATTTCTATGAAATTTGGCTTAGATGTAGAACATAGTCCGGAAGAACACATAGGCTACCTAGTTTTCTTGTTTTATTCCATGCGGACGGAGTCGCGGGTGAAAGCTAGTTATACAATAAAAATGAATCTATTAAACATATACTATTTAAGTAATTATTTTTGTTTTAGTAAAGCAAAAGTTGCAAAAAAAATTTAACACAGTAGCTGAAAGGGTTATTTCGATAGCTCTAGAAAGTGTCGATTTTAATGAAGAAAGAGCTGAACAAATATTAAATGCTGTGGTCCAAGAAGAGGATGCACCCAAAGTTAATAAGAATATTGAAATCAAAGAAACACATAGACCTGGTCCTATAGACATTACAAAAGGGTAAGAACTCTTTATAAAAACAATATTTCATTGAATTCCATTTTACTATCTTGAAAGAATTTTTTTTTTTTTATTTAAACTTCTACACTGATCTTTATAAAATATTACTATATAAATACAAATACTTCCTCTTTAAAATATTAGTGTACATGAAAAAAGTATCATATGTCTGTAAGAAAGATTAACAGATATTAATTAGAGCAAAGGGTAAAGCAAAGCAACAAAATAGTAATTTTTAAGAAACCCATCCTAATAAAATTCATACAAACATATTATTTTTATGTAGTCCATATATCAAAAGTAACAGAACTTACTTACTATTGTCAAGTGTATTTTACAAAGTTACTTACCATTCCACTTTCATATTCAGTAGTATCAAAAAATAATCTAAAGTCATAATTCCTGGCGCTTATTATGTAAACCTTAGCTCCAGTAGCTTCTTAGCTTCTCACTGTATAAAAATACATAAAAATTGATGGTATATTTGTTAAATTCAACATCAGCTCCCAATATGTCCCACTGAGACTCGGAGCCAACATTAAGTTACTATCTTTATTTGGTAATAAATAATATTTTAATCGACAATCAATCTTTATGTATTTATCATTTCATAAATATATAAACGGACGTAATTGATGAGTAACATACAATTAAAATTATACACAAAAACATACAGACAGACCTTTTGGGAAGTCGGTCAAGAATTGTATAAAATAAATTGGATGTAAGGTGTTAAAGTATGTTTAATGCCATCAATGGTATCCGTATCGTCATATCACTCATCCCCTGGGTGGCAGTGTTAGCGGCGATGTGGAGCAGCCGCCGAGCCGGCCGCCCCCCGCGCCCGCCTCACGACGACTCAAGATATGGACCGAACATCTGAAGTATGTCTTGCATGCTTGTCTTCCGTACCTTTCTCCCTCTTGACTCTAACAAAACTGATAAATCCTGTCGCAATGTCTTAGCAATGGTTTTTTTCTATTTAAATATGAAGCAAACACACTTTTTTAAATTGGATGTCAATCACAGCATGTTTTCGAATTAATAATTGTTATTTATAACAAAAAGTTACGACGTTATAAGCTATGTATTTTCACCCTCTTTAATTTAGGGGGATGAACAAATTAACAAAAAATGATGCGAGAAAGGAAGGAAGAAGGAAAGGAGTCAATGTAAAGAAGTAAGATTGCTGATAATGGTTAATAATAGACAGTGACAAAGATCTTTGTTGTCATTTGAGCATTTTAATTTTGACATATCGATGTCGTACGGATAAAGCCACAAGAAAACAGCTAGTTTTAAACAAATGAATTTTTGGAAACAATTGCGACAGTGTTGAGATAACAGAATTCTATTTTTAATCCGTTGGCACAAATTAAACAGCTTATTGATCTAAACTGTAATTATAGTATAGTCTAATTAGGAACTATATAGTTATTCATGTTTGTGTGGTAATAAATGTTTTTAAAATATGAGTGTTTTAACATGGTCTTATATATTACGTTTAGAAATCACACGGTTGAATTAATTTATTGAGTATGCATTCTAGCATGTTTTTTGATAGAAATGTCTATATTTTTCTAAATAGTTGATACCTGTTTCAAATTAGACATTTTAATATGAGATAGTCATGTATAAAATTGAATGTTCAACATTCTGAATAATGTTATTGTGTGGTTGAAGAAGCTTTACTCGTTTTAGTTTTAGTAATAAAACATTTTCAGCATCACCTTGACAATTATCGGTAAATATATCTCTCCATATCGTGAGTTAGATAATTGTAAAATATTTAATCTGTGATTGATTAAGTGTTAGATTATTTTCCAATAGTGATGTGTGTTAGAAGTTACAGTCAACATAGATATCATAGTCATTACCATAATCATTGTTTCTTTAGCATCGTTAATGATTATAGTTTGGAATCCCGTACCAGCACTTAGTACCTGCATTTATATCACAACTGCATACTAAAAAATAGAGCAGTTTAGTTAACATATTTAGACAGATATTAGGTTATATGTGTTATAAGTGTTTAAATTTAGAAAGAATAGATGGTGAGATATGTAAAAAAATAATTCAATAAATGATTTGTTTTGTTTTAAATATTACAGGCCAATATTAAAGACGAGTGCAAGTGTGGAACCTAAATACAAATCACAGTATCGTATGGCGAGTAACGGCCCTAACCCATCACTACGACAAGGACCGAAGGATAGTTTGCTTCTGTAAGTGTTTCTTAGCAAAATCTTACTAATACGGATGCATGGATATTTAATAAATTTTTTTAAACTAAACAGCTGAACGGATATACATGAAATTTGGCATGTACATAAAAAATAAAATACATACGCTGCTTATTTTGGTTTTTATTAAATTCGTACTGACGAAAGCTAGTCTTGAATAAAAGTAACAAAAGGAATTCAAAGCAGAGATTTATTTCTCGCAATACAATGTCTGAAATGTTAGCACTACATATTTTTTTTTTATGCAGTTTAAAGTTAAATCGTAATATCACTAACATAGTTGAATACCAAAGCTGTATTGTTTAAATGAAATTAATTAGTAATACATTTTTGCAGGGAGGATTACATGGCGTGGAATGGACCGAACCCGGAGCTAAGAAATGGCAGAACAGTAAACCCCGAAGGTCCAGAGAAATGCGAGAAAAAATTTACTCTTGCTCGAGGACCAGCCGAGCTCGCTAAAGGCCCAGCTGGTATTGCGACTGGATCCATTTATCAAAAACTAGCAAAAAAATCAGCTAAGATGTAAGTTTTACACGACTAGACTTATTTTAATACTTGGCATGCTGGGAACGTTTCTTGTAAATAATATCGCAGTTTTCGATTCACTGCGATATATCCAGTTAACGAAATATCCGATTTACTAAAACAACACCCGCTGTACATGTAATTTAACGCAAGTATTGTATTAATACAATATATTCGTCTCGTTGCACATATGAGTTAAAACAATTTATAAATCAGAGAAAATGATTAAATAATTTCATCTAAAATTCTTGACACTACTATAACGCTTATTAAGTAATACTTTTACTGAGGCAAAAGTTGTTTTTATGGTGTAATTCAATGTTTTTTTATACAACAATGACATAAGTTTATTTTCAGCGCTATCTAAATTACCAAACGGATATGGGAACAATACAGATCTTGAAGATAGAAGCGAAACGATGTTTACATTAATATTTAATTTCGTTATTGTTACATTGTAACTTTTTAGGTTATTATTTGTTTAAAATTCTTGTCCGCTTCTGTTTGTTAATTATTTATTGTCACACATACCAATTGCATTGTCTAAATTAACACATTAATTAGGAGTTATAGAAATTTTCCCATTTAATTTCAATTATTTTGTTTGGAACTTATTTCAAAATATATGCATAGGTATAATTTATCAACATGACAAATATTTTATCTTAAAAGATATTTACTTCACTTGCATTTTAATTCTTAAATAATCCTAGTCTCCATTTCTTTAATATTTCATTGTTAATATTTTAAACTAAAATAGGAATAAATGTATCCTGTAACAAGTAGAACAGTATTATGTTAGTTATAGCTGAAGCCACTGTTAAAACATTATCGTCGCTTCCATTCGTATAAGGAAACTGATAGATATAACGGTATTAGATTTGGCCCCTATGTTCATTTTTCAAAAAATATTTCTAACCCTTTGTGTTCTTCCAAACAGTGATCTTTATCTTTACTTAATTTTAACCATATCTGTGTCTGGAGCTACCCTTCTAACAACCATCTATTCAAACTTTCGCATTTGTTATATTATATAGATGATTCTGTATAGTGGTTTCAGCTGAAGTAAACGATTACAGTTATTATTTTGTGCCAAATGTTAATATTTTTAGTATCCCAGTTGATTCCCTTTTGATATATTTTTTTTATATTTAGTGGTAATTGTTTATTGTTATAGATGTTAAACTACAAATTCGGATTTATCAAACAGTCTCTATTTTGTTTTTTAATTCCATTTTAACAACTTGACACTGATTTCAAAATGTCCGAATTTGAAGCTTTTCCCTAAACGCGATATCTCATTATGAGGCCTTCATATTTATGGATCTCAAGTAATGTAGGACTCTATTTTCATTGTTGTACACATTAGACTAAAACAAACACTTAGATATAACTTGAATTTAAATCTACATGTTCTTTACATTTAATATGATTAGTATTTTTTTAAATAATCTTTAATCGTTATTCAATTTGTAGCATAAATAGTTCTTCCTCGTTAGTTTAACTTCTCTTATTAAAGGTAATCCAAACTTGCCATTAAATATAATGAACAAATATTTTTATCAAAATTTAGTACCAAATTAATATTTTTGTATGGCACAATATCTGCGTATGCTTACTTATGTATACTGTAATTCATTTTAGGATATAGATTGTTATATAAGCGTAAAAGGTTCAAGAAAAATAAAATAGTGTAGTTCTGTATTTTTAAACAATCTTTTTCTAGCCTCTGTTGAGAAAGTTGAGAAAGTTGCCACAATAGTGTTATAACTAGTAGTATGTTTTTATATCTTGGCCAATCTAGATGTTATATTAATTGGATATAGAATTACTCAGTATTAAGCTTAGATTTTAAAAGTTAAGAATTTACATCATATTCCCAAATATATTTAAAGTTGATTGTGCTCAAAATCGTTATAGGTATTGTAGTGATTAGCTTTTAGTTCGGTTATCCTAAGGTTTGCACTATTAATTCAAAGACATGAATACATCATGTAGGCAATAAATTACAATACAAACAATGGATGTCTGTAATTTTTCTGTAGGACAACGAAATATATTACCTCATAGCTGTAAATTATAACTGAAAATCCAAAGAATTGTCCCCCATACATGTATAATTATACAACATGTTTCAACCATGTGCGTCGTCTTTATGCATAGCTGTATGTGAAGGCCGTGTTCTAAAAAAGAGAATTTATCGTGCATCTGAAAGCCAAAGATTTTCGCATTCATTATCTTCACGGTTTCTATACGAAATCCACGGCTGCAGTAAATTTCAAGTCATGCCACGCTGTCAACTATCACAAACCTAATGCTGCGCACAATTGCACTTGCGTAGGGATCTTCAATGGTCAGAAAGATTGTAAACACTCTATTTATAGCAATAATTTATTACTAAAGAATTCAGTAGGTTTCTAGTCAATTAAGTTTAGGTATAGATTGTAGACTTTCAAATTTCATATTTTTGCGACAATTGTAAGTCTTTTTTCGAAATAAAAATGTTGGATTGCCTAATTCTGTGTTTTATTACAAAATCCATTTAGCTCACAGTAAGAAATATTGTTTCAGCTAATAATAAATAATTACAGCTTACTTGAACTCCAGAATCAAGAAGTATAGCAAATTCACTTTTGTGTTACTTGTTTAAATTGTGCATATTTTTTCTCGTAAGATAAAATCAAACTTTTAATAACAAAACTATAATAGATAAAAACCATTCTTCCAGGAAAAAAATATTAGATAAACGAAAATGCAATTAGTAAATAATTTGCATAAAGAAATCATTCATATATGTAGATGTAGGGATTTGATTCAACTAAGGCGATATCCTTCTCCAATTGACGAAGTTCTTGTTCCATCTTAGTTTTTCTGACAATTTTCGGTACCGTGTCCGTGAGCATCGGCAATTGCAAGAAGGCCTTTTGCATTAATTGCCAATTTTGCTTCAGATCCTAAAAAAATATATCAATTAACTATAGTTTGTAATGCAGACGGAAAAAAAAAGTTTCGTGCACTAAACAAAATATCGTTATCATATTCTTACTTTTCTGAAGCATAGTTTCGTTTGGAGATCTGATTATGGATGACATCAAAACAATCGTTTACTACAGAACAAGTGCATGTCATTATTTACAACTTACATCTAAAAGTTTTTGTCGCTCCTGTTCATTAATGAGTTTGCATAGGCTTTCCTTGTTTTCTTCGGCTAATCTCATTTTTTCCAATCTCTTCTGAATTTTCCGATTTCTTTTGACCAAATATTCGGGCATCTGTCCAAAATCCGGTCTGAGACAATATTCCGGAACTTCACCAGAACCTTTAATCTTTTTTATGTGGCCATCTCTAGTATCCACTAACCTATGCATAAAGTATGACAATCAATGTACTATTAATATAAAATTGCTGTTATTAAAGTTTAGTATGAAATGTGCATAAAATGTTATTGGTAATTTGTTGATCTGTGTACATAAACTAGTTGGGTACCTTGGTTCAACTGGTCGCGGTTTTGCTTTTAAGACTGCTTTCATATTCCGCACACGAATATTAATTTTAGGCTTTTCCTTAACCTTTTCCGGGGGCGGACATCTAGGCACCGCAGGTAAATTGCCGATGATGCACTTATGGTCAGATTTTTTAGGCGGCTGACCAATACCTTCACCTTTCTTTAGGAATTGTTCCGGCGGCTTCAAAGGCGTCTCTGCGTATCCAAAAGTACGTCTTCTCTGAGGAATTTTAGTTTCTTTAAGCTCTCTTTCCAGTTTTGATTCATACCTATAAATTAAAGCGGGTGAGTATCTGTTAATTTAGCCAAATTATTATGTATAACTTAAATTGTCGAAATTTATTTATATATTTTCTGCGTTATTATTTTACTGCTTGTGTAATGATTATTAATAAAATTTATTGATTTACCGAGGCGTCTTGGGCGGTTCTGGTGGAGGCTTATCGAGTATTCTGTATATGACTTCGTCATGATGCGTTATCTCCACTAAGGACATTGATTTTGATTTTAACGAATTATATATTTGAACAGGGAGTAAAATTCAGATTAAATGTACAAAATTATAAAACCAGTTTAGCTTATTCCAGGAATAATACTATTTTGGTTGCTATGGAAACATTGAATTCAGGCTTTTGTCAGGTTTTTCGGTTACAATGGGAAAGGCCAGCCGGGACACAATCAGAACAATGTTATTATATTCTGGTTGCGAAATCTGCGGTATTGCGAAAATTATAAATCTGTGATATCCGCGCTTGAATCTTGTATAGTTATAATTATTTGCGTTTATGTTGAAAGTTTGTAACAAAAAATTACTTTAAGATTTGACATCTTGTGTCACTATTTTTGGTTGTAGCAACATTAACGAATCTGTCATTTGAATGAATGTCATAACAAATATCAAATACATCAATACTGTTCAAATGAGAGATATTTTTAGATTTTCCTGATTTTATTGATGTTTTAAGTTTTCCAGTAAGCGCTTAACATATGCGCAGTAACGCTTTATCATGTTAAGTGGCCGGTTTCGGAGTAGCCTTAGGAGTTATTGGAGTGTCGGGTACGGAGCTAAATCGTTATCCAGTAGAGATGTTTTAGATCAACATGAGACGTTAAGTGGATGTCTATCTACTCTGCCGAAGAAAGCAAAGGTTGTAATATGTGGAGGCGGTGTTATGGGTGCTGCCGTTGCCTACCATTTGGCGAGGCGGGGTTGGGGAGACAAGACTATCCTTATAGAAAAAGAAAGGTAAGACAACTAAGTTTCTTGTTATTTCTACATATGTAATAATGAAAATATTTTAAGTATTAAGGGATACGCATAACTAATGTTCCAATTAATAGAAGTAATGGATGGATAAATTTTTTATAAAGAATATATTTTTATCAGAATATGGCGTCAAAAAGGTTTTTATTTTAATAAAACCAAATTAATTAAATTCTTACTGACATTGCGAACTGTATCAGAGACGTTAAAATAGTAATTTTTGTATTGTTTGATAAAGCACTAGTGATTCAACTAGTGTGTTTAATCAGTCTACCAAAATGTATGTGAAATGTAGATAAAAGTGAATACAATCATATTAAAAGATTAAAACCATATTGCCACAGGATTGTTCTTGTCTTTCATTGATTTTAAAACAAGACATTCATGGGCGTGGTCAGAGGGAGTTAGGGGGGCGGTAGCCGCCCCTACTCTTAGGCAATTAGACAATGTATAAAAGATATTAAAACCAATTTGAATATGACACTATTAACTTTATCTTCCATCCTATATTTATTACCACTAAATTATTGGTTGGCGACGCCTATGTTTACATCAGTCAGTAACTGTTTTGTTTGATAAAAATTGCTTGTTAATGCCATAACATGTAATACTTGATGTTCAGAAGGTGATTCATATAAATACGTAAACATGTTTCTTCTAATCTTAAGTCAGTGAAGCTGTTTGAGGACTTTTGCTGAGAGAGCACATGTTTATCATACTACAGTAGATGGTTACAAATATGACTATGTTGAATAATTAACCATTGTTGGTTGTTGCCTGATTAATAATCTCTTCTTTTTAAATTTATCAAACATGCAAATTAAAGTTATGATCATCCACCACTTTAGTTGATCTATTTTGGTCTCCGGAGCTATGCTAATGCTTGTTATTTGGCAATGACAAAGTGGTTAAGCACTTATAATGTACAGGTCTAAGATTGATCTTCACCATAGGGTGGTGGCTTGGCATAGACCAATATGTATTTAAAATTTTTATATGTACATTTATCCTACATTCTTATGGTAAAGGTGATACAATCTACACATTTATAGCTGTAAATAAATTAAAAGATGTATGTTGAGTATGCAGCTAAGGGTTAAAATATCTATAACGATTTTGACAAGACAGAAGTTCTGTTATGTAATAATCAAGTATTTACATTTAAGTTTTTCTCTAAGTGTAATTTATAAAAGTGGTAAAGATGTGTAATTTATGATATCTTTTTTTGTGCAGAGTCGGTACCGGTAGTCGATGGCATGCATCCGGGCTTGTTGGTGCTTTCAAACCCTCTTTGGCTCAAGTGAAACTTGCTCAATCATCAATTCGACTATTGCAAGATTTAGAGGCGCGCGGGAGACCTACTGGTTGGAAGCAATGTGGCTCGCTTCTGCTGGCAAGAACTCGAGATAGGATGACAGTTTATAGAAGAATGAAAAGTCAGTCAGTGTATGTATGAGCAGATGACTTTGTTCACATGGAGTTTAAAGGGTTTATTAAAAATTTCATAAATTTACTTCTTTGGGGAGAGGATGTATTATCATTAAGGTCTGTCCTCGATGGTCCTTCAAGAAGCAAGCCTAACATTTTCTCAAAGCCGCAAATCATCTGTAGTTCCTCTGGTGCTGCGGATGTCTATGGGAGTCGCTGATCACCTCAGTATTCCTGCCATTTGTTTGCCCCATTATATTATGAAAAAACGTATTATTGAAATCTATGAGCAAAGTTTCAAGTTATTAGGCCATTTAACTGCAGTTGTACGTAAATATGTCAGACGTTCAAGTTACTTATTTATATAATACCGGTCACCACCGATATACCGATAAACCGAAAAACTAAATAAACCTATAATATTCCCGCTTATATCAGCTGCCTACCCGTCAAAGTCTCGTCACAGACAGACAAAAAAATAGCTTTTCCTTATAAGAAATGCAGATACACCATGTTAAAAAATTTAAAATTTTCTTTTAAGTTACATACAGACGCCCCAACTCTATTAATACATATGTATAGACAGATAAACCAATATATACCAAGAAATTTGTTGTTAAGGTCAATTCTACCAACTTTTAAGGGAACAAAATTGCGAAATGTAGGATAAAGAAACGTTTTGATTGGTTAACCGTTTCTGTTAAAAAGTACATTTGTAAGTTGAAAATTTAATTAAAGATTTTTTTATTTTTTATTTCAAGTAAATTAAAAAAAAAACATCGTAAGACTATTTATACATTACGTATTTCGTATTTAAAAGATAGCTTAAAAATATAACGCATAATGAAACCCGAAAACAAATAAAAAAAAACATTTTTTCGAAGATGTTACGAAATAATATACGAAACAGGTAAATCTTAAAGTGAACTGCGTAATATAGAACGTGCCCGTTAACCGTGTATTGATCGAGATGCGCAGAAAATTGCGCGGTACCTACCTTCATAGATTATTCGACGCCGCCTTTCCGCGACTGTGATTGTTCAGTGAATACAGTAACATGTCACAAAACATTTATTTAAAAAATAAAACCATCACATGGTTGGTTATCTGCAAATCTCGTCAAATATTTCTATCATACGCGAAGAATTGGATACTTTAGAAGTATAAAGTCTGCTATAAAATGAAATTTATTTAAATTGTTCTAAACAGTTCCTGGGGTATTCCGTGTGAGCTAGTGACACCGAAACGATGTCAAGAGATCTGGCCGATGCTGAACGTAGATGATATACTTGGAGGTCTATGGATACCTGGGGATGGCGTTGGCGACCCACACCTGTTGTGCATGTCATTGATTCGGGAAGCTGTAGATAATGGTAAGTTGATCTTCTTACTAATGTTAAAAATGCGAAGTTTTAGATGGATAGGAATGATGAGTCTCACATCACTTTATGATGTAAAATGATAGAACGTATAAACTTTAGATAGGTTCTATTGATTTTTCTAGTAAGCCTAGGTAGCAGTAGTTGCTTCAATCATAGAATTCCAAAGCCTGTGTTGCACTACGAAAATCTACATAATAATAAGTTGTATAAATGAATAAGATCATTATAAAGTAATGAAAAATCGATACTAATGTAACGTTTTGTAGGTGTGGGCGTAATGGAGGACTGTGCTGTAACATCAGTCCTGTCTAAACACGACAAAGTCTGTGGTGTTGAAACTGATCATGGTGCGATCGAGTGCGAATATTTCGTCAATTGTGCTGGATTTTGGGCAAGACAGGTAATTTTTTTATACAGCTATGTTTATGTTATGTTTGAATTTTCAATACTTAACTTGAATACTGGTACAATTACAAAATATGAATATTTAACAGTTAAATTTAATTTCAGTGCCTGCTTTAACATCTTAGCACTGCAGGGCCGGCTCGCCCGGTGTAATACCACGACCACACAGAAGACAGGCGTCAAATGGAAGCAATTCCGTGTTTCGTCTGATGAATGTGGTGCCAGAGGCCTAATTTAAGTCCCATTCTCCTTAGCATCCCTAGATGGGAAGGGGTAGTGGATATAACGGTGGAGGAGATGCATAGGAAGGGGAAATATCCTCTTTATGTGTGTCTCCTCCTCCGTCGGATAAGGGCAGGCAACTCATCTGCGATCGCGGATGTGTATGGGCAGCGGTCGCTTCGCCATTTCGGTGAATTCAGATGGCCGCTTGCTCGTTTGCCACCTTATGTTATAAAAAAAAATAATTATCTTAGTACTTGTGTTTTAAAATTTGTTTACTGTCTTAGGTCGGTCAACTTGCGAAGCCCCAGGTGAAGGTACCTTTGCTGCCGTGCGAACATTACTATCTGCATACGAAAAAGATCGACAATTTAGATCCAATGACTCCGGGTAGGTACTCGTATGAAATAGTTTTATATAGATCGAAACCATGTTGGTAAATTATAGCGATATCTTAACTCTGGAATGAAAAAACAATTGTAAATGGAAACTACACCTCTTTCAGATACTCTTATTAAAAAATCGAAAAATCTGGTATAGGGGGCGCTGTAATCGATAAAATATAAATTTAGATTTAATGTTCGATGACTAATATAACTCAAAACATACCAACTAATGGGATTATCATTATTTTATTTCTTGTAGTTTGAAACTTCAATGTTAAAAATTGTAATGCGATTAGGAAGTTAAAACTTGTGCTAACAAGCGCACATATCAAATATCATGGAATTACACACGTGTATAGGTATTCTTTTAAGTTTGTATTGTAATTGATTACCTTTAGTATTTTAATATAGATATAGATATAACGAGAAATGTAAAAGTTGCCTTTACTGAATTTAGATGGAGCTAGTAGTTACGTATATGAAAAAAAAAAATTAAATGGTATTACACTTATATTCAAAATCTTGCTGTCTCTATTTTTGAAT